AAGAGGAGAGTAAGAACCTGATTAAAAAAAAAAAAAAAAAAAAAAAAAAAGCGGTGTGACATCACGGTGTAAATAAGCGGCTCTGTGTTCTGCTCTGTCTTCTTTGTCTGTTTGTAGCTTCTCTTCAACTGTGGCAGTCTCGCCTCAGCCGGGTCATGTACTCCATGGCCAACTGTCTGCTGCTGATGAAGGTAGGTCCTCACGCCTGTGTGTGTGTGTGTGTGTGTTAGGGAGAGAGAGAGAGAGCATGAGAGAGGCTTTATACCAGACTGTACAGAGAAGCCACAGTGCCATCTAGTGGGGAATTCTTGAATCTGGTTAGTTTGTTCTGGAAAGCACTTTAACAGCAGAACAACATACAAACAATATACCGTGCTGTGCTGAAGTTCCCGACATATATCTATAAATATAGATATATACGTCATCAAAGACATAGATATAAACATAAAAATATTGATAATATAAAACAATAATAATAATTGGAGACAGCGCCACACAGTGTATTATAAAAATGGGTAAAGTAACCAGAGAGGGAGACAGCGCCACACAGTGTCAGGGCCAATAAGCGTATATGTATATATATGTTTGTATGTATATAGTTGTGTGTGTTTGTGTGTATATCTATATATACACACACATATATGTATATATATGTGTGTGTATTTATATATGTAGAAGTGGGAGAAGGGTCACAGCACCCCACCATCACTCCATATGTTACAATAACCCCCCCCCACCCCNGCCGTGGAGACCTATCACTCCATCATTCAATATGAACCTCATCAGAAAGTCCAGCTGCTGAGTGGGATCGGACGCATCTTCCTGCAGGTCTGGACATCAGTAAACACACACACACACACTCACACACACACACACACACTCACACAGGTCTGCTTCACCTTGGGCCTTTGAGAAGATCCGTTCACTGCCCGTCATTTCATAGAAATAGATTTGAAGTCATTGTTCGCTGCAGACAAAAGACAATAATCTGGGCTGAAAAATGTTGAGTTTTTTATGAACTCCTTTCCCAACCAGCGTCAAATGTACCATATATAGTCCTGGTCTTTATGCCAAGCTTAGCTAATTACAGACAGGTCGGTCACATCCACTGTCATATTTAACCAGTCCAGACCAGCAGTCCAGTGGTTGAAAAAGTTACAGCTGCTTTTCCTCGGCCAGAGCGGAGACGTAAACATGGCAGAGAGGTACTTCCAGGATGTGGAGAGAAGCTGCCAAATGACAGGCAGCCAGTCCAGTCACACCACGTGCGTGCTGATGAACAGGTACGTCTGCGTGGTGACGTTCTGCTGCTGGAGATCATTTGTGCTCCACAGATTCCACAGACGTGTGATTCAGCTCTGGAGGTCACACCTCTGCCTGGAGGAGCTGGTGGAGCTGTGACGCAGTAACGGAGCCAGCGTTGCTCGTGTCAGAATGAAGGACATGAACTGTGAGTTGGGCAGATGAGCTCCGTCTGACATGTCCAAATACTGGGTTGGTGCAGTACTTCTCAAATACCTGGAGGTATATGGTAATATGGCACCCATATGGACATCAGTGACCACTGCTGTAAGGCTTGAACGACAACAAGCCTCCAGTCACTAGGTGGCAGCAACTCATACAGTGGTTTGTACAGATAAGAATATACAGTACGTTATCAGGTTCTCAGTAGTATTTCAAGTCATGGGGGTGTTGGTCGAGAGGGGGTCAGCCTACGTAGGGACCTGATGTCTGGGTTTGATAGTGGGTTTTTAGGAGCATACTGCCACCTACTGGACTGGAGTGTGTAGTGTCATGGTCTGACCAGTGACTTTTTCAGATGACTCAGTCGACTCCTCACACCTTGATTCCTTTTTTTATTTGAACCAATGAGAATTGTCGGGGATTTGTATTGACGCATCGTTACATCTCTGACTTTGGCTCCATTTCTTTTCCCAGGGCTTTTGTCTCCCTCAGTCAAAACAACTATGCTGAAGCACACGCTTCGTTCACCGAACTCTTAAAACTTGACCCCAAAAATCCTGTGGTAAGTAGTGACCGTTATTGATTTCCCAAATGGCTGAGCGTGCTCTAACCCTCCGATACATCCCAAGGCTAACAACAATGCTGCAGTGTGTCTGCTGTACCTGGGACATTTGAAGGAGTCCCTGGGCCAGCTGGAGGGCCTGGTGAAGCAGGACCCTGCGCTCTACCTCCACGAGAGCGTCCTCTTCAACCTGACCAGCATGTACGAGCTGGAGTCTTCTCGCAGCACCCAGAAGAAGCAGAAGCTCTGTTGGAGGCCGTGGCCTGTCGGGAGGGGGACAGCTTCAACACACAGTGTCTAAAACTGGTGTGACCGGAGGACGGTGGCACTTACTGCAGTGTCCTGTACTGTCACCCCCCTGTCCCTCACCCCCTCCTCATAGTCTCCCTTTAGCTCACCAACTCCAGTGCAAGCAGTAGGCTTTGGTTTACACCCAAACTAAAAGACATGCTTGGTGACTCAGGGGACCACTAGGGGTCGCTGGCAATGAGACATCATGGCTGCCAGGTGTGCTGCTGTGCATCGTTGTCATAGCGTTATCTTTCATCACCACCCAGCTGGCCGCGGGCTCCGTCATGTTTTATGCATTTTTATGCTGCGCTGCGTGTTTTACACCAGAACATTTATTATTTATCCTGTTCCTCCTTTTACTACATTCCATCATTTACTTTTTCCTCTTCTCTTGTCAACAGTCAGACATGACGGTGGAGTCAGAGTGAGAGCCTGGCTAAGTGGCATGTTCTCAGTAATACAAGAGTGAAATATTCAGTAGAAAACTGGAGTTCTCCAAAGTTTTTAACCAGCCACTGATCATGTCAGTTTATCATTCTCTTTTCTTTCTGGCTCAAGGTCATCTCACTACAAGTCTTCACTGGAGGCCTTTCATATTGAAAACTCGGTTTAACTTAGTTTAATGACAGGAGACGTTGTTGAAACTAAGTCAAATTTATTTTAAAAAATCTAATAAGTAAAAAATAAAAATGGATTCATTCAGTATAAAATTTAACGTGGTTTCTGTCTTTTGAGTTTTCGTCCACGGCCGTAACTGTGTTTCTACTGAGTGACTCACTTCCATCGCTGACGTCCTGCTGGTAAACGCAGGTCAGTGCGTCAGGTCCTCGGTTCAACACTCGACATGGGCATTATTCTGATCTTCATTCATCAGGTGAAACATCTAATAAACGGGGGAGGGGGAAGTCACACTGACCTCCACCGAGGGTTAGATCAGCAATAAGGTCGCCCTCTAATGGCCAGTTGTAAGAAATCAATATTCAAATTTTTCAACTAAACCTTTGACAGTTGAAAACAAACATCGAGGACATAAATATACAAACTAGTACATTTACTTGGATTTTACCTCATTCGCTATATATTTGAAAGCATAATAATTATCACTATTTACAATAAATTCTAAATAGCAGTCGGGGTTAACTGACTCTGACGCATCATTTTTCCTCTTTTTGATTATTTTAGGATTTTTCGTGACCACTTCTGGACTTGCAGTGTCGGAGTTGTTGTCGGTCGTTCCACGTTCTTAATCATCTCACACCTTTACTGTAAGGTGATTCTACAGCTGTGAGGCTCTGGTGGGCCCCCTAATGTGGCTTGACGGCCTGGATCCGGCCCACGGGCCTTAGGTTTGACCTGTATTATAGTGCAGAAATCCTGTGACCTGAACTTCTGAAGAAAAGAAATGTTGGAGCTTCTGATGAGCTGATTGTCTCGACCGTTACTGTCTCTGTTGACCTGATGTGTCTGTGACCGTTGTTTCTCCTCATAAATCCGATCTTATTTAATGTCATATGTACAGCTTAGTAACCATCTGAGTGTCGACAAACAATACTATAATACTACACTGTACTATATGCTATACTGTAATACTGCAGTGTTAGATTAGCTACAACTATATAAACATACCTTATAAGTAGGGATGTCTGATATGAACTTTTTGTCGATATTCCGATATTGTCCACTTAAATTCCAATGCCAATATCAACCAATACTGATAGAGCGGGACAGTGGCGTCCTAGTGGTTAAGGAAGTTAAGTCTCACCTGCTCACTAAGGTGATGAGGTTAAAGCAGTTTTTTCAACCCCACAAACCACTGTATGAGTTACTGCACCAGCATTCAGCAACAATCCCCTGATTATTAAGATAGATTCAGAAAATGAGCCACAATGCTGCCATCTAGAGGCTTTCACTTTCACATACAGCTGGTTATCCCCCTATATAAACTATTTTTAGGGCACACATCTTATCGTGTTTTCATTATTGAAGGAACAACTGAGAACGATTCTCATAGATATTACATAATTATGCTAATATCGGGCCGATAATATCAAGCCCCACAGATTAGCAGGTACTTCGCCAGTGTGACCTTAAGTGATTTTAAGAACTGTGTATTCTGTGTAGTTTGGCAGTCAGACATTTGGACCAGTTTTCTTCAAAAATATCTTTTTGTTTGAACATCATTCTCTCCATTGTAGACAGTTTTATCAATGACGTCAGTCCGTTGATTTGTCTGTTGAAGCCGTTTTCTACTCAATACCCTTTTGTCTCCGCTAGATGGAGCCACAGAAGCTACAGATAGATCAAATCGAGGTGAACGTCATCTCTCTGAGATGTAAGACTCAGTGCAGACACAGTGCGTCCAGACTGACTCTAGCCGCCGGTTTGCTCCACTGACACAGAACAGAACACACTGCGCATGTGCAGTACTGTATGGTGCGTTCAAGGCACCAAGAACCGCGAGAAAAAACAGAGCATTATATCACAGCATAACTATTTATTCCCCAACCGTCACAATATAATATATATTAGTGTTAAATAGAAGAAAAAGTGGACGGCGGAGCCAACACGGTAGTTTTACGGTGTTACACCATGTCAGATCAAAGCGGAAGTAATCCTTGTTCATTTGGGTGTGGTTTGAAGAAAACGTTTAAAATATAAGAAAAAGTAAAGAAGAAAACACAAATAAGATAAAGCTAAAAATGAATGATTTTAATAGTAATAGTAAGAATATTAAAATATTTAATAGTAAGAATAAAGTGT